CCATGGGCAATGACGATGACGATAGCGACGGCTTCTTCTTCCAGCCCGAGAACTTCATGTACCTTGGCCCCGGCGCCTACGACGACATCAGTCCGGAAGCTGACGAGGACGATCGCGAGGAGGTATTGGGCAAGCCTGGCGTTGGTGGAAGCGGCGAAGGCAGCAGTACCAAGAACCATGCGATGCTCGATGTTGCTAGTATGAAGTCGGGCGTATCACCGCTACAAAGCGAGACCAACACACCCTCTATCATCAACAGTGTCCCTGTGCAAGGGGCTGAAGCTGTGTCTGAGGCACGCGAAGAGATGACTACTGCAGGGCAGCCTCTCAACGTCAACACTAATACCAACCCGGATCCCAGCCAGGCTCTCCCGCCCTCTCCTGGCGTTCCGCTCCTTGATTCAGTTGAAAAGCATCGGCCTGGATTCTCATCTAATTTCCATAGTCCGCCATGGGATCCAGTAGGAACCATGGCCGAAATGGCAACGGAGCACACGGCGCCAGCTCACATCGAAACCCACCCTGACCCGGTTGAGATGGCCGACACAGCAGTGCTAGCCCCCATCGAGACGAATTTTGCCGACCTAGGTATTGCCGAGTTGCCAGAGCGGACGAGTCCGGCGGAAGCGAAGCCGCTATCTGCTCAGTCAACCCACGATTTGCTGCATCAGACGAACATGAGTGACGCAGCCCTCTACGGCGCTACATTTGGAACCGGATCTAGGCCTCAAAATTCGTCACCCTCTCGGAAATCTACAGCATCTCAGGGACCTCGACGCGATTCAGGAACAGGGATCATGACTCCCGATCACTCTCTGCCAGAGGTGGTGCCTTCGCCGGCGCCGCAACCAACACAAAGCCCCTCACCAACTCCGAGCGGAAGTGGTCCCTTCAACATCAAAAGAAAGCCTTCCAAGTCGGCGGGCAAGCAGACTCAATACCAACCCTATGTACCTGGAGCAGTCAGCAGCATAGCTACAGAGCAATCAAGCACGACTGACTACAAACGCCGAGAACATCGTAATTCCCTTGCTCGGGATGGGTCCCTGATGATGGGACCACGAAACAAGTTCGACCAGACAAGTATGCCCTCTGTTCTCAAGCCTCCTCAGCTGCCGCCCAAAGTTCCCATTGACTCGTCTCAAGCCCCAAGCACTCCCGCCAATCACCAAAAAGCCCCCGGCACAGCCAGTCAAACTTCAGGTCTCGTCACACAGGGGCCTTTGCAACACTTTCCATCAGTTCTGAAGCCAGCAAGAGGACAGCCACAGAGCAGAGCCCCGGAGCCGTCGTCTCCGCAGTCGGCATCTACTGATTGCCCAGGCAAGAAAGGGGCGGGGATGGAAACGCAATACACTCCATTCCAACCAGGTCTCGCAAGCCAGAAGGCACCTTCACCATCTCATCAAAACAACACTCAAGCTTTTGCCTCCCCCGCCACAATCTCGCAGACATCTTCTAGTTGCCAAGGCCCGCATGTTCAACGACCCGAGACGACGCCTATTCAGTCATCGCAAGACCAGTATCGAATGGCTGACCAAAGCGGTCAGCTTCCTGCACCGAACACCCCATCTGCACCCGCCTTCCTTCAGCGTCCGCGAGCCCAGAGTGATATTCGCCAACAACCATCTTCCGTTCAACAACGAACATCGATAGACTACCCCCGCGATAATACGCAAAGACATGACTCTATACCTGACGGGGGACGACCTCGGCAGACGTCGTATGCTTCAAGCGAGGTCTCGTCCCTTGAGCCCCCGACAGGCAGCCAGTCATCGGTTCCCCTCCAAACTCCGTCGCCGTTGGAGAGCGACGGAAGACGCCATTCCTCTGGCTTCTTCCATGGTGCTAACTCGAACTCTTATTCCTCCCAGTCCGGTGCTGGGTTTGGCACCGCAGGTTTGAGGACAGCATCAACTTCTGGTCCCTCTGCTACGCCGACAACAATGGAGAATGCCCGACAGTCCTACAAATTCGCAGAGAGCCAAGCTCCTCCAGCTCGACCAGGGAAGGTTCCAGTATCATCGGTGGCCACGGCTCAGCCTGATCAAGTCATGGAGTCTCAGGCTTCTCGCGAAACTTACACTCCTTCGTCGAATCGCCGTCACTCTCTACCGCCTAGTAGCACGGCGAGCCAAATAGCGCTACCGGTGTCTCAGCAATCGCAGCCAGAAAGATACGAGTTGTCAGATCAGAGTCAAGGCCAAACGAGGCCTCATTTCGACTCGGTGCATTGGGAGACAAGCGGCACCAGTGCTGCTGAGGCTGCTCATGGCATTTCAAGGCCGTATTCAGTGCATCCTATGGGGATGCAATCAGGACAGCCAAGTATTCCAGCCTCAGGAGTCAAGTCCGTGATCACTTCACAACCACCATATCTAACCGATGACAACCGTCGACCCGTGACACTGACAAATCGCCCGTCTCGTCCCACAGTAACTCTTCCTCCCCAACAAGGTCTTGGCCCAATGAGCCCCTCCACGCCTATAAGATCTCCCGGTCACCTACTTCACCCTATTCACGAGCACAATGAGATCGACAGTGTGATGACCTCTGCTCCTAATCCCTCAGGAGGGCGAATCTCTCCAAATACCGGAGGGCGTTCTTCTGAATCGAGTTTCGCTCCCCATCCAGCATACTATCCAGTGGCGAGCAACACCCCACCGGATCAAGCTACAGTCAATATTGCAGGACTACCTCAGACGAGCGCAATGCGCCCCGGATCAACCCCGCCCGTCATGCAACATTCGGCAAACGGAAAAGAAAAGGGAGGCTGGCTTTCCAAGTTCAAGAAGGGAGGCTCTAGTAAGTCCGGTGTCCTTCAGAAAGCGCCGCCGCCACCACAAGGTATCCCGATAGCTCAACAGCCGATGCAAGGTGCACCTCCTCCGCCAGTTTCAATGTCGGGAAACCTTATGGCTGCCGGCTTATCAAAAGATCCTAGGGAAAGCCAACAAGCAATGCCAGTCCTGTCTGGACAACCAAGCAATGTGCCCAACGCCCAATATACGCCATTTGCCCCGTCAAGCAGGCCAGAATCTTCGTGTAACCAGGCCTTCACTCCAAACACTAGCAGTCTTCAGCAAGCCCCAGTTCGCCAGAATTTCCCGGTTCAACGCAACGCGTCTCTACCTGCAGGGCTAGCGTCTCAGCCTATCTCTCAAGCTCAAGGACACTACATGGCCGGAGAACAGGTTCAACAACGTTCAGCCAGCGTGCCACCTGGAGGCTTGGTACTACCTTCAGGTTCACCCATGGACCATATGGACAATCTCTCAGACGCTGCTTCTGTTTCGACAATGGACGTATCTGAAGCTCAAGCACAGCCAGTACTAAGGCCGCAGCTTGTCACAGTTGAGCGGCATGCTGTTCAGCCAAATCGAGAGCAACCCGTACCGCAAAGTGTCGGCCACACCACTCCATCGGCCCGGCCGACTGCCGAGAGGCGTCCTCTTGATTCCAAGGCGCTTGCAGACGGCGAACTGACTGTCCCGCCTCTATTCTCGAAGCCTCAGCCAAAGACTACCGTCAGCGCCGTTCCAGTAGATCAAGCTCCTGTTGCTCAGAATAAGTGGGCGAAGAAAGCTGCTGTGGACTACTCTGGGGATGACTGGGGCGATGATCCATGGGACTATCAGTAGACACGTAGATGAGACTCAATCATGCTATTATGACTGGCCTATATCAGCTACAAGAGTCTTATCTGAATGACAATATCTAGATTTAAACAATCTGTACATGTAGATACCACAACGTTTCGGTCTCAAGTACTCGGACCAAACCGTAATTACTGCCATCGTATTCACATGAATTTCAAAGGATTCTCGCCATGAGCAGTGAAAGAAGCAGAGCCAAGCCCGAGTACACTACCTGAGACTACCATCGGCAAGGGAAAGATATCAAAGTAAGCTACGATGGAAGATTGATGTCCGGCTGGTGCTTGTCCTATGGCTCGGGATTAAACTATACTCTGAAGAACACCATCCTAACCTCTAATTCACATTCCGACACCTTGATCTGGTGCCTCCCCTCCATCCCTGATCAAGCCTCCAACTCCCCCACATCGTAAGATCAGTGTGCGCCATCATGGCAATCTGGGAATCGTCCTCATTGGCGCAGACTTCGCCCACTTCTTTGTACACACGTTGGCTCTGCGCGTCCCAAGACTTTGATGTGAAGATGCTTGGAATGAACAGCGTCAATGACACAGGACACACTAAAGATGTCTCTACGAATGCCATCATCTTTGTGGCATATTACATTAGTAAGACCCTGAGGCCCAAATTCTCTCAATCGACTCTGCCGCTAATCCACCCCCTCGGCTGTGTAATGATGCTGGTATTGTATGCGTTGAGTATCTTTGCAACGGAGCATTGAATGCTATACTACTGGAGGGAGAAATGGAGGATAGTGAGACTGGAAGCTGCGGGGGCAGATGTCCGAGTATACTTGGACACGGCACTGGCTGTCACAACTTAATGAACAGCGAGAATGTGTATTTCCGTTATATTTCGCAAAAGGAATTAAAGCACAGATGTGGATGAAGACTTGCGAACTCCTACGATGCTTTGTCGGCTTTGACGAGTGATGCGGTGTTGACTTGTCAATGACAATGCGTCCTCAAAGACTTTGTCTCACTGTTTGAACAACCTTTGTTGATGGAATCATCGCCTTTAGTGAATGACCAACGAGGTAGAGACCTCGGCCATTGTGACATTATTCAAGGTCGGGAACAAAAAGAGGCCTTTGTAATCTCGATGGCATTGTTTTGGAAACTGCCAGCTTTGAGTTCAACACTGTCGATTGACCCTCAAGCCTCCGTGGCTATCGTTGGGAGAATACTTATTTCGTCTTCATCCTTTCCAACGTTGATTGAATTACAACACCATCATTATACCAGCACAGCCGATTACCAACACTACCAACAGACAAAGTTTAGTATACCCCAAATCCCAACAAACATACCCACAAACTTGATATCTACTAAGTTGACTACAGCAATGGCGCCACCGTTCCTTAGCCGTCCCGAGATTCAACGCCTCGTTTCAGACTTTTTGGTAGATTTCTACAATCGCGAAGACGTCGAAAACTGGGAAGATGTACAAAGAGCGACTATCGACGCCATGGGAGATATTATCGTCCAGCTTGCTCGGGCGCAAGCAGAAGGTACACACCCCTCTCCGGACCCGATGGACTTGGACGATGGTGGGGCTGTACAACCCGAGGAACCAGATTCAGATGACACTTCGGACCCAGATGACTTTGTGAGAGACGACATTCCTCCCCAAGCACTCAGAAAGAACTCCAGCTCCTCAGACTCGGACTTTGAGGGCTCTGGGAAGAAGAATCCCCGCAGCGGTAAAGGAGCTATCAAGACTAAAGATACTCCCCGAAAGGACACCAAGGTAAAGTCTGACCGTGTTGCGAGCCTCGAGGCCCGCAAGACGAACAAATGTGTGTTGGGATGTGGCTTGGGCTACACGACGACGGACCGCCTCAAGAGAGTAAGTTGCTTTTTGCTTCCCCTTTGATTTACAATTCCTTGAGGACAGATCAGCTAACAGCTTTGACAGCATTACAAATCTCACCATCCCGGTTGGGAGACCGCAGTTGTGGCTGCTGGCCAGACCATCTTTGCCAATCAGCGCGGCTACAAGAAGTGAGAAAACATGAGAGGGGGCATTATTTTTCGATATCAGAGGTTTGTTGTCTGCATGGTTTTGCTGACAAGAGTACAGAAAGGGGGTTCTTAGTTTTTGTCTGACTTGGATTTTCAATGTCCGGGTTTCAGGTCTTGGGCGCTGAGTTGAGGAGAAAGAGTGTGATATCAAGCAGGATAGCGTGAGTCAAAATTGAGTCAGGGGGAGTTGAGTGGTTGATATGTCAAGACACCCCATAAAGCTCGCTGTTCAATCCTAGTCCTTAACGTGCCTCGCGTAGATAAAAGATCGACGATCCTTTTGACTTTGTTTGCTACTCTTCTGTAATCCTCGCCGGCACCCGGCGTTGCGGTTGCGCCAAGGCATGTCCCGCCGTAAGGGGGCTACCGCACCACTCAGGTGAGTGCGCGTAAACTGTCCCTATCACTGACAGCTTCCTAGACACATTCTAACTCTAGTAGACGCCTTCGACCAGGGCCAATGTGACAAGGTGATGTTGGACCATTCAGACGTCCGATAGCTACGGAGAATTTCATGGGTGACGGCGGCGTCTATTCGTCCATGCCATCCCACCGGCCCGTTGAAACAGACCGTCAAAGTTCAAGGGATGTCCCGCTAGCTTGCCTGATGACAGGACCACCGGTTCATCTTAGACTCGGGGGCTAATGGGCTTGGCCCACCTTCAGACGTCAAGTCGGCGTTCGGCAGTCAAAGTCGATGTCGGACTCCTGCCGGCGGCATGGCGAAGTATAAGGTGATGAAAACGCCGGCGCTACGTGAGCTGTCACAGTCCAGTGCGTTATTCTTCCATCTTCCGCGGGTCGTAACAACTCAGTCCATTCTTTTTCTTCAGCACTTTGGCAAATCTGCCTTTCCGTTCCTTAGTCCATTTCTCACCCAACATGCGGTGCTCTACTTTCCTCGCCCTGGCTGCATCAGCCTCCGGCGCGTCCGCTCATTACTTCTTCCCCCACCTCATCGTCAACGGCAACTTCACCGGCTACAACGAATACGTCCGCGACAACAGCGCGGGCTACATGCCCTTCAAGAACGGCTACGACAGCACCGACCTCCGATGCCGTACCGGTTCCATGGAACACGCCGCCACTACGGGCGTCTACAAAGTCAAGGCGGGCGACGAAGTGGGCTTCGGCCTCAACTTTGGCGGCACGATTCAGCACCCGGGTCCCATGCAGGCCTACCTCTCCAAAGCACCGGGCGACGTTCGCGAGTACGACGGTTCCGGCGACTGGTTCAAGATCTATGAGCTCGGGCCAAAGTCCTTTTCAAGCGAGGGTATCGAATGGGGCGTCACCAACGTCGGCAACTTTACGTTCAAGTTGCCCGAGGAGACGCCTGCTGGGCAGTACCTCATGCGAATCGAGCACATTGGCGTTCATGGAGCTGGTGACTTTGGTGGTGCGGAGTTCTACTTCAACTGCGCGCAGATCGAAGTTGAGAGCGACAGTACCGCCGTCCCCGGCCCGACTGTCAAGATTCCGGGATTGTACGACGGCCACGAGCCCGGTATCGAGTTCTACATGTACCGTCCGTGGATCGTCAACTTCACGATGCCCGGGCCGGCTAGATGGCCCCAGCCTCTTGTGGAGAACGTCACCGCACAAGGTGTCAGTGTGGCTCCGACAGCTACCCCTTGGACACTCCCGGCAGTCACGTCCACAATTAGGGGACAGGATATTTCGTCCTCAGCGGCGGCAGTCGTGCCCACGAGCCTTGCCTCCGCAGCAGTGCCCTCTGCCAACACGACGTACTCGTACACCCCTACAACCGCGATTGGCGCAAGTGAATCAGCGGCTTCCAAAAGTGAGATTAGCGAGTTGGTGGTGCCAACCGTTAGCTCCGCTGCGACTTTGAGTGCAACGGCTGCGCCTTTGACCACCACTTCCAAGAAGTCTCGATGCCCACCACGAAGCACTGTGATCAGCACGATTTACGTTACTGCAAGTGCTTAAATCAAAGCTCAGAGAGTTGAGTGTCTTCTTCTAGAATCAACTCTTTATATCTGTGATGACACATGAGTCATGCGATGCTGGGAGTTGCAAAAGACGAAGTGCCTTCTGCAACTTACATGTAGTTGCCGCATTGTCAAACGTAAACACCGGGGTCAATACCATGCCTGGGCACGCTGCAATGGCGTTGAAGGCCAAACCTTGAAAGTCAGGCTAGAGCTTGTTTTCTATTCACTTCTGACTGTATTATTATACTTTTTAAATCAAATATGAAACCCTTGGCCAGGTACCCAGATGCTATAGATGAGCAGCAGCATGACCCTATCCGGAACTGGTAACTTTAGTGAGAAATGGCAGAAGCCTCTTGGACTTCGAGGTGCCTTGAGGTAGTCAGCACAGGGCCGTCGCCTAGATCTCCGTACCCAGGGTCGAATGAGGTGCCTAAGTATCCAAATTTGAGTCCATGAAGTCCCCACTATCTTCCTAGATATCTTAAGCTCAAAGCAATAGCAGAAATGTCAGTGTGTATGAGACAAGAACTAGCATGGGACACGGCACGGGATCTTGATATCTCAAAGAATCAAAGACCTACGAGTGAAGCCTGGCTAGTCGCCGGCAGTCAGGAATTGAAGTTTGCAACATTTCTCACGCGGCATTTGCGCTTCATGCCTGCCTGAGGTGAGATACGGCGCGCATTGCTCTTGCAGGAATGAATTGGAGAAGAATGATCAACCACCGAAGCAACAGCCGCCCGGAGTCGAAGCCAGGCACGAGTGTGTTATTGCCCACCATATCGCAAGGCAGATGATGGTCCTTCCACACGTAAAAGTCCAATGCCTTTCTGCAAAATTATGTGCCTGCTAAGCCAAATACTCTTTCATTCGTGACGCAATGGCACCTCCACCTCCCTTTCCTGGGCAGCCTGCCTTGCTCTTGACCTCTACCTACTTGCCCAGAGATCTGGAAACCACCGCCGCCCGGCATAGGACCAGAAGGTCCTATCTTCAGGTTACCTACGGAAAAGAGGCCTGCCAGCTTCCCACTCGGCGAAAGATGTATGCCTATCCTGCTTTCCACTTAAGTAGAGTAAGGTACGCAACGCAACATCCGTCTTCCTTAGGCCTGTTGAGGAGATCCTTCCAGGTTTGTAAAAAAAGACATGATTGAAATATCTTACCCCAGCATCTTGCCCCGATTTTGGCCACATGGTGATTTGACGTGAAACAGGGAGACGAATCCACTGTGCCCAGCCATCAAGTTTCAGCGATTCAGCTAAGATAATTCCCGTAAAATGGTCCTGAGGATCGTCACCTCGTCCTTTGCAGCTCTCGAGTGAAAGTCCTCCAAGCACTTACTCAACGAATAGTGTGTTGCCACCTCAACCTACCTGCATGAAATCGTGATCGTGCCTGCAAGCAAGCGCGTACTTCCTTTGGGGCCTCTCCGTCTGTGTAAGAGAGAAACAGCATGCAGCCTCACATCCTCTTTCTCGCAATGATCATTTGAACCAAGTATTAGAGCAAGAGTGGATGACGCCTGTGTGGAAGAGTGAAAGCCTTTAAACCTCTTCGTGCCCCCGTCCACCCCGTTTCTGTTTCTTCATCTCTTCTGCCGCCGATTCTTCTTCTCTCAACTTTCCGTCTCTTTTCCTCCGACTATCCCCCAACTTTCCCCCGACTATTCCGAAACAATACTCACACGATGGCACGCAACAACAGAAGCAAGAGCTCGCCTATCCGGACCTACCTCCAACATACGATCAGCAGCGGCGCCAAGACGCGTGCTGCCCCTCCGCGCCCCGACCCCAGCCCCAACCCCGACTCCGACTCCGACCACGGCCCCTGCCCCAGCCCCGACCGCAATCTCTGCCGCGAGCCCGCCGATGCCTCCGCCGACTGCCCCGGCCCCTGCCACTGCCAGCAGCAGCAGCAGCAGCAGCAGCAGCAGAAGAAGTAGCAGCAGCAACAACAGCAACACCAACAGCAGCAGCAGGCCAGCAGCAGCCCCAGCAGCACCAACACCAACAGCACCAGCACCAGCGGCAGCAGCAACGGCAGCAACAGCAGCAGTAACCCTCCCCGAGGCGGAGCGGGAGGCCATGCGGGTGGCTTGGGAGTCGTGGGCTGGCATGGCGGCCGGATTGGTGAGCGTGGGGTACTCTTTTTGAGCTGTTTGTGTTCTTGCTGTTTGCCTCCACGATGGTCTGCGTGCGGCCGGCCTATCGGCCAAAAAGCCGGAAATGAATGAGAACTTTACTTTCTGATTGCCCTGGGTTGAACTGTCTTGAACTTTTGGTCGTGAAGTCTGAAGAACCTCTATCCTGAACTGCTAGTCCTATCATTTACGCTGCCGAAGTCGCCTTCTCGCGGCATGCGCAGTCCACTAGCCGCTACACCCGTAAGATACTTATCCAGGTACCGACTGATTGTCAAGATGTTTGTTTCAAAGTGCTCAAGATAGTTTCAAACTCTGAAAACGATCGGGGCCCAATCTACGTTTTGACACCTTGACAGCCTGAGTACAGGGTCACTCAGAAGTTAAGCGTTATGCCTTTCTCCGAAGACCCTGATAGTTTGACGAAACGAACAGGTGACGGGTCACTTGAGCCCTGATGGGCGCCGTCTAAACTCACATATATCTTACGTATTTGGGTATTTATGGTCAACATATCCCCAACATCTTGTTGCTATTCTTAGTACCGCAGCTCGCACACTGAAGAACCGTCTCGCCTTGACGGATTTACCTATTCATTCACAGGTTCACAAACGGAACATGGCTTTATTTGTACTCGTAGCGGCAATGCCGCATCTCATTCGGTCTAATAGATCGTACAGAGAAATTGCAGCTCGACGGAAAGACAACCGTCCAGAAACAAATCCCTTCCAAGAGGCTCAAGCTGAATCGCAAGACTTGTCTTCAGCTCCACACACAAAAGCCAACGCATGTAAAGCGTCACTACAAGTATCGGACTCGAACGCCAAAGTTGCGCAGCCTGTTGATAGGCTGAAAAAAGACCCGGCCCAACCTCCAGTCTTGAGCCGCTTTCTTCGATGGATTAAAGGTTACCCGAGTCACCCCATGAAGGAGAAGTCGGACTTAGGACCAGGTCTCGATTACGCCTTGCCACTCAATCTGCATCTGGCCATCGCTAAACACCTCACTATGGCCGAACGCGTGGCCTTGGCATTGACGAGCAAGAGAATGCTGGCAATCATGTCAAATGAGCAGTTTTGGCTAAATCGGGGGTCTAGTGAACGTCTGGATCTGTTGAAGCTACTAGAGAGGGACGCCATCAACACACGCAGAGAGATTCTTTGTTTGCCCTGTCAGGTTTTCCATGATCCCTTCTTATCGGTTCCACCAGTCGATCCCGACTCAAGTTGGGCGCCGACCGAATTAGATCGCCCCTGCGTTAAAGCAGTCTCAGAGGACCAGCACCAGAGATTCTCGTCTCCCTACCTTCCACATGAATTTCATTTCAATATGGTCAAGGCCTTCCTGCATTCGAAACGCCATAAAACGGGCTTCTTTGAATCAATACTCCCTGTCCTGGAAAAGTCTACTATTTGTCGTTACTGCTATAAAAGAGAGGAAGCCAACGTCCAACAAGGCTTTGAATGTAGGGTGTCAAGCGAAGGGGATTTGCTGATGAAGACAACCACGAGACTCTTTGCGTGCCGCGACCCAAACCAGACGAGGGATAAGGTTCGATTCGTCGTTGATATTCTCAAACGAGCCGAGTTTACAACTTGCTGCAAACACGTTGACTGGGTAGAAACATACCCCTTCATATTCGACTACGATGGACTCCTTACCGATGAAAGCAAACTTCACGCATACCGCGCTTCGAAAGGGTATGGATACGATCCGGCGAAGAAAATTCGCGACATTTGGGATCCAGCCGTCAAACCGCGATATGGACCCAAGAACCACATATCGATCACGCACTGCCAGTTTTGTTATACGAACTACGAGTACGAATGGAAGGACACCGAGGACGGAAGTCGCATTGTTTTTCTCATCTCGTACAAAAATCTAGGCAAGGGTATGGATACGAATGATCCCAAGTGGTCGTCGCATTTCGACGACCATATCCCTGATGCAAAAGCCGAGCCTCGCAGATCCCACTACGACGGGTTCACTCGGCGGCCTCACTATGCTTGGCAGGAGAAAGCTGATGAGGCACCGTGGGACCCAGATTATTGAGTTCCTTCCAGCTACCTTAGCGAGTTACCATGCTGGGTTATTGGGGCCTCAAAAAGGCCAGAGGCGACCTCCCGCTAGCAAGTTACTCACCACATGTCAATCGATTAAGCGATTGCTTGTCATCATACCGTTTTACAAAGAACATTGAGGTTCGGGTCGGAGGAAACACAATCGGAGCCGACAGGAGTTCGGAAGTCCATCTAGACGTGGGGTGAAGGTACTGGTGAAGGCTGTCTGCTGGAATTCTGAGATTATGTTGGCGCTTTAGATTGAATCAATGATTTCTCAGTTGAGAAACCGCTGAACAAATGTCCCACCAAATCCGAGCATGAGATTGATGATGTCAAGACTTCCCTAATCATCCCAAGTCGACCCCTGTGACAGTTGGATGTGGCTGAAATTAAGGTGTGGCGTCAGCGGATTTCAAAGCACGCGATAACCCCCCGCATGCACGCGATAGCGAAACAGTTATCAATTAGTAAGAGCCCGAGAGCCGCGACTTACCTTCATCAACATTAACGACACCATCACGGGTACCAACCGCAGAACCAGGTAGTGTCACCATCTTCGCGTTGGAACCATGGCAGCACAAAAAGACTTGGAAAGCCAGCCGCAGCAGTCGGACGAGCGGACCCCGCTCCTGGGGACATCCGCCGAGGCCGGATCAAGCCAACAGCCGGGAGACCATCGGAACGACGATAACGGAGCCACCGAAGGCATTCAGGATCCGGAGCAGGTGCCCCTCATCACGGGCCAGGATGGAGAGGAAAAGAAAGAGAGGACGACTAGCTGGTGGTTATGGCGGGCGTTCTGGGCAGTTCTCGCCGTGTTCGTCCTGGCTGTCTTTATCAAAGGCTGGACTGATGCCAAAGACACCAATGTGAGTCGGTCGGACAATGGGTCAAGTAAATCAATAACTGACTCATTATCCCTCAGTTTGACCTCAAAGCAGCTCTTATGAGAGCTCTAGGTGGTGGCTTGAGTGGCGCCGCGGCTATGGTCCTACAAGTTTTGACACTCATGGTAAGTACATCAGAGAGATAGGCGGAAGTCGATGCTTCATTGCCAGTGAGTAAGGACGTTACTAATCGCGAATTATCTTCAGCCCATCCGAACTATCATGAACTACCAGTATCGCTTTGGTTCTGGCTTCAGGGAGGCAACTCGCACTCTCTATGAAGATGGAGGAGTGCGCA